TGGCTCTGCATCTCTTTTTCCAACCTTTTGACAGGGAACAGGAGTAAGGAGAGTGAGAGAGTGAGAGAGTAAATCATGGTGTTTGGACGGGCCTGCCGCCGCTGCTAAAAAAAATGCTAGAGGAAACACTGCTATAATTGCAGATGTAATGCTGTCAGTGAATCAGCAGTCTCGACCTGTTCTTTTCCAGCAGTGCCTTCATCTCCAGACTGTGAATTTCAGCTTTGTGTTCCTCTTTCTGACCAGCCAGCTGCTTCTCCAGAGACTCCATGTTGGACATCAGCTGCTCCTTCTGCTTCTGAAACTCCTCCAGACCAGCAAGTCTTGCCACTTGAAGGAGAGGAGAGGAGAGGAGAGGAGAGGAGAGGAGAGGAGAGAGTTAAACATCAGTGGTTCCCCTCACTGAGCTCTCAGCCAATTAGTTTGTTTGGGCCTTTCAGTGTGTAAAAGAATTCTTTACATTTCTTTAGATAATGATTATTTTCTCAATTGTGTCTCATTTTTGTGGAAAAACATCAAACCAAACAAACAAAAACAAAAGTCACCATTTCAAAACCATTTCATGGCACCTTCAACATGCCACAGTAAGCACTGAACTCAACCCTGGTTTAACCCACAGGGATAAACAGTCTCACCCAGTGTGGTGTTTTCTGCAGTGAGTTCTTCAATCCGCTGTTGAAGCTCTTGCCTCAGCTGACCGTGCTGCAGCTGGAGGAGATCTCTGTCCTTCTCGGCAGCTTGCTGCTGACTCTCCAGGCGCTCTGTCAGCTCGTCCACCTCATCCTCCTTTTCCAGCAGCGAGTGTTTCAGATAGTCAACAATGTCCTTCTTTTCCTTCTCCAGTGTGCTGCACTGAGAGTTTAAGTCCTTCTTCTGCCTCTCTAGTTGATCACATTTCAGCTGATATCTGGAAGAGGAAGAGGAGGAAGAGAATCATGCAGGGGTTAAGGACAAAATGATTCTTGTTGTGCATATAAGTATGGTGATGTGTATCTTCTTCTTACTCTCACTTCAAGATTGTGATAATTCAGATTTTCCTATATTTGGGGTGGGTCGCTAAAGAAATGGGGGGACGACAGCATTTTTTCTTCCCAGGGGCCACCAGGGCAGGTGATTTGTCTCATTCTATAGGCTTTAAAATCATTATGGATTCAATTCAGTTATGTGCAGTGGTAAAAGTATTCAGAGTCTTTACTTAAGTAAAAATGGAAGAATACTCCAGGTACAGGCCCTGCATTCAAAAACGTACAAGTAAAAGTACTCATAATGCAGAAACATGGCCCCTGTGAGTGTAATTCATATGTGTTATATTATTTTGTAATTTTAATCCATAACTATGCTTTGTATTATATAAATTTTGCATGTTTGTCATTTTTAATCGGAAAAGTCATTAGAAACTATAGATATTAAATGAATGTGGTGGAGTAAAAAGTATTTCCCTCTGAAAGCAGTAGAGGAGTGGAGTAGAAGTATAAAGTAACATTAAATGGAAACTCAAGTAAGTTAAAGTACAAATATCTCAAAACTGGGAAGTACTTTCCACCAGTGGTTATGGCTACGTGTCTACAATACTGGTGTATTCACTTTTATAAAGAAGCTAATTTCAAAGTAATAACAATGACATGCTAGCATCGTATACAACAGCGACGAAAGTAAGTTAACGTTACAACGGAAATAACGTAACGTAACGTAACGTTAGTGTTAGCGTTACAAGTTGCGCCGAGGTGATTTAAAGTTTAAGAAAAAACGCTAACAATGTTACAAAGAACAATGTACAAAGCATTTACCGGCACAAACAAACATATTATCACATTATTCCTATTAAAATAAGTTAAACTGACTCATTACCCTGAACGGACAGTCGCTTTTTGTCGTGTAAAACAGCCTCACCTCTCCAGCTGCTCGTTCAAATATCGTATTTGAATCAAGTATAAATCCTTCTCTTTGTCAACAGGAGCGGGTTTATCCGCAGGAGTTGCGGTACGGTCCTTTTTCTGTGTTTTCTTGTCTTCGTCTTGTTTGTCGCCGCTTTTCTTATCCTTCTTTTTCGGCATTGTGTATGAGAAAAGTTGACCAAAACTTTACGCTGAGAGCCTGTGGAGTCACTAAACTAACGTTACGTTGTTGCTAGGCAATGCTGCCTTCAGGGACTCCTCCATACATTTCAGTCTTCACATGGTTCCGGTTCAGATTGGGCACTGATACTTTTATCTGTCTTTAAACAAATATTGGCACAAATATTTATTACAGTTAGAGTATTTAAACTATAAATTCTTTGATCGGTGTTTTAGATCATATTTTTGAGTGATTCGTGTTCTCAGGTTAATTTAATATCCCTAAATCTGATACAGCCACTAATGTGGCCATTTGACAAACAGAATCAGAATCAGACATAACGTTACTTTAATAATCCCAGGTGGAAATTACTTTCGTTACATACTCCATATGTAATAGACATAGCCAACATATATTTTATATATATAGTATAATTTAATACAATTGCCTGATAAATGATTTTTCCTAAATTAATAAGAAATTATTAAATACAAAATATCAAATATCTAGTAAATAATGCAAACACACTTAAAAACACACAAACAAACAAACGTTTCATAGGCTACAGTTTAAAGGCTTGTTTGTAACTTCAGTTCTTGGTTGCTTGTGTTAAAGGTATCCAAAATTTAAAGAAAATATATATTATCAGAACAGGCAACATAATCACCTCCACAAGCCTTTCATCTGTCACAGTAAAATTGATTCACCTGCCTGGCCATGACCTCTAGCCCTCCTCTACCCATGTCATCATTCCTAACTCAGTGGCTCCCCTGGGTGGTGTGAGCCAGTACTGCATGAAAAAATGCCTTCTTTGCCTGACACAGAACAGTGTGCATGTAGGAAATGCTACAATTTGTAGTGCAAGTTTTCTGTTTCCAGATTTTCCTTCACGCCAGTAAATATCAGCTGTTGCTGGATGAACAACCTCATCTTTCCATCTGGAACACTGACCTCGCTGCTGCTTCACACTACAGCCTGTTACTGGATGACCCACAGAGCAGTTATACTAATAGAAAGGTTAAATGTTTTAAATCACATATTTTATTACAGTATTATAATCTATCATTATTACCATATGCTGTAGAGGCAATTAAACTCAGTGTTGTAACCCTGCTTTCAGTTACCGTACAGCACAAGGACGTCAGCCAGTGAAGTGTAGCAGTTATTTATCTGGAGCGGGTGATTCAGCGCTGTGTAAATGCCTGCTTTTTAATTGGTAACTTTTCATCCCTCCTCCATTTGGCCGCATTGGGATTTTAATTGGGTGCCTGTGTGTTTCACCTCACTTCACTCCCTGCCTATAAATCCACTTGGTTGACTGACTGACCAGTGTGGAGGTTAATTCAGTTTCAGCTCTGTCAAGCCTTTAAATTAATAAGAGATTATTAACCACGTTGCACATAAGCCGTCATGGAAAAAAAAAAAGAGCTACAGTAAATATATTTTAGTAAGATGCTACTCAGATATTACAGCCTAATCACAAGTCCAGTGGGAGTATCACAGTAATACCGAAAGCTATTATAAATGGAGGACAATAGACACAATACAAGCTGCTGTACAGAGGTACAGTGATATTTAACAGCATCAGTTACAGTTCAGTCAAACCAATTAATTAAATTATTTCTTCGCCAAGTAATTTAGTCAGGAATGTATCTCAGCAGCTGCACACATAGGTTATTGTGTTTTCATCTTTGGATACAATTCAATTTGGCTTTGTTAGCTCTAATGTAATTTAGCTGTATAAACTCTCGTAGAAATCCTATGAGATTTAATGGGATCTGTAAAGATTTACAAGCATCCTATTCAGCATTTGTCAAACTTGCAAGTTGTTTACAACCATTTTAACTCCTGTTAAGCCATTTAACACTGGATGGTTGGATGTCAGTCTGCCAGTTTTGTTAATAGTAGGTTTGTGAATATTGTTTGTGATAAAATCAAAATCATCTAGAGCTACTACCAGAGGAGATTGTAAAAAAGTGGTCTGTGGTAGTGGTTATGTGATTGTTTTTATTATTTGCCTTTGCTTATGTGCTCTTGTACACTTTCTTTTGATGTTTTTTATATGCCGTTAACCTGCCAGGGACTGCAGATGAACATCAGCCTGTATGGCAAATTTATATGATGATGTGCATTGTCTATTCTTAAATGAAATAAACATAAACATAACCCAGCTGATGCACAGACCTGCTTAGGTAAGGTCTCTAAAAATAGAGAATGTGGTGTGTGCTGTGATTGATCTCAAATCTTGAGCTAAAGGGACTTTTAGTTTTAACTAGAAAAAGTCTGCGAGGTTTCAGATTGAGAATTCAGAGCTCACAAGAGATTTATCTCTATGTTCATGTTTGTAATATTGTACTTTTTACTTTACAATATTTAGTTACTTTGCTGATTCAGATTAACAATACAAAATATAATCAACATAAATTAGGATGTAATATTAGCCTATAGATTAAGATAAGACTTTATTGATCCCAGAAGACAAATTCACAAGCTACCCAGTAGATAAAGTAGTTCAGATTAGCTCCAGCTTCAACATTAAAGTGATGCACACATTAATGCATTAAATAATCCAATAATATAACATCTGAAACGAGCCATTCTGCATGATGAGAACTTTTATTTTTAATATTTCAAGTATATTTTTGACGCCAATACTTTTACCTAAGTGTAACTGAGAGTGGGTGCATGCCACTGCTCTGCCAGTTCTCTCCCCCGCTTCCAGCTCGTTTCCTCCCACAAGTCGCAGCAGCAGCAGCAGCAGCAGCAGCAGCAGCAGCGGCAGGGCGGGGCAGGACGGTGACCTTATAGCCTCCAGCCTGGCACCACTGCGAGCTTTAACCAGCCGAGCCTGCTGGGACAAACTCTAACATAGTAGCTAAAGTCTGACCGCTGTCGTCTACCAGTTAGTGCACCAGACTTGTGTTGCAGTTTTATTTCCAGCAGCCATGAGCAAGGACAAGCAGAGCAAGCAGGTGCCAGAGTCCACCGGACCTCTGTCCCCGTCCAAAGGCCAGAAACCCCCCAGGATGCCCAAGTGCTCCCGCTGTAGGAACCACGGCTATGTGTCTCCTCTGAAGGGACACAAGCGCTTTTGCAACTGGAGGGACTGTCAGTGTCCCAAATGTAAACTGATAGCTGAGCGGCAGAGAGTCATGGCGGCCCAGGTAACCGTTGACCGTTACTTTACTGGTTAGCGCGGCTAGCTTGAGCGGAAAATATTTGCTTCTGCAACGAGCAGGTTAACGCTGAAAACAAAGTGTTTCTGCGGGCTGGAACAGGAAATGCAACTTGAAATTGTTTAGATAAATATTTTTTGATTATGTTTGTATACTTTTTAACCGCTGTGGACAAGTTTACTTGAGTTGTTTTTTTTAATTTGTGTACTAACGTGCCAAAGCTAGCTAGCTTATTGCTACACTTGTTGCTGACAGCATGCTTGTTTATAAATATAAATAATCGTACAGGTAGGCTACAGTATATAGAGTTTTATTAACATATTCTGTGGTAATTTACTTTGTAACATTGTACTTTGTAGCCTGAAGGAACATTTTATGGATTTTTTGATAATGAATGAATGATGATTCATTGATAATTACCGTATGTTTTGAGATTAAGTAACACTAAGTTACATTTTAAAACAGTATTATCAAGCAAACACACAGATAAATAGACAGACAGATAAATAAACACACAGATAAATAGACAGACAGATAAATAAACACACAGATAGATAGACAGATAGTCAGATAGATAGAAATTTGACAGCAGCACAGTTACATCAGCCACAGAACAAACTAAAAAAAACACATTTTAAACTCAATCTTTATCTAAAGATGTGGATTATTTTCATCATCCTTTAATCTAAAAATGTTTTTAATTAACTGATTAAACACTGAATTTACAATGAGGTGAGATAGATGAAAGCGGTACATTCTCAAATTTAAGAAGCTGGTATCCTATGTGGATGGTTTAAAACATGTTTAATCAATAACTTAACATATTTGCTGATAAATTGACTGTCAATGAAGTAATTGATGAATGGTTTCAGCTCTAGACCTAACTTTAACAGTACATACAATAATGGGGTCTGGCAATAAGCTGTACATTGGTAATACAAGTTAAAGTAGAGCTTGTACATTTATGTCTGGTATTGGTATGGCTGCAAATAAGTATGGTAACACTTTATTTGGATAGTCCCGTTTACAAATAGTTTAGAGTATTATTTTTGTGCCTAAACTTAAGCAAACAATAATGGTATCTCAATAATCTCAACTAATTAAGGGGGTTGTTTCAAATAGATATAAACTATCTGTAGGCGGACTGAGCATTTTGTTACTGTAAGTATTAACTTCAATATATATTTTAGTTTCACATTGATAATTAATACATTTTAATCTGCAGTGTAGACACAGCAATAACATGACTATGAATATGGCATCAGTCCTATTGTGTGTGGACTGTATTATAACACATTTAAGGCTAAACACAAAAATTAGACTAAACAGACGGCTTATTATTATATTATTATTTTTTAGCTATATCTTTGCATTATCAAGCGAGTTTATTCTGTGAAGTCCCTAGATAATGTTTTGTTTTATTTCCTCTCCCCTCTCCAGGTTGCCCTGAGACGGCAGCAGGCTCAGGAGGAGGAGCTTGGGATTTGTAGTCCGGTGGCTCTGTCCGGTCCTGAGGTGATGGTGAAGAATGAAGCCGGAGCAGACTGCTTGTTCTCTGTGGAGGGTCAATCCCCAACTCCTACCAGTACCTCCACTTCTTCTCTTCCTGTCACAGGTGACATATTGCCACTTACTGTCATGTTTTACACTAATGTAGCAGCTGATTATGCAGCCATACATGTGAGTCACTGTTTCTGAATACCAGCTCCACAAAGTATGGAAAAATTATTTGGTGATGCCAGAATCTTTATAAATAAAGTATAGTGGGTATGGCCATGATTGCAAACATGCAAAAGTCACAGCTCATATATTTAGGCATTAGTCCTTTTTTAAATATCAATTGTCTCCATAATTTGTTTCAGGGTTTGTTTTGATACACACACAACATAACAGTATAATATAACATAATTGTTCTAACATCTTAGTGGTGGTGATTTCCCTTATCTTATGTGATAATGAAATAATTATGTTTAGGCTTTAGACTTATGAACAAACTTTGAGAAGAAATTCAGAGTATTGTTTTTATCAGTTGGCTTTCTATAGATTATATTAACATTGACAGTTTCACATCAAAATTTAAATGACTGTACTAAAGCTGAATTCTGATCTCTCTGTTATTTTGTGTATATCAATTCACTTTGATATGAAAGAGTTATTTTCTTTTTCTGTCAATCAGGCTCAAATCGACTGAATTTAATCCACTCGTAATTAACACAGTAAAAGAATAAAACACGAAAATGTCCACAGGATAAGAATACTTTTATAAGCACTGTTGAAACAATCAGTAAAAGACACTTTCATTGAAAATAAATGAAAAGTTTATTTGGTGGCAGCAGCATGAAAGGGGATCCTTGATCTCTTGGCGGTGGTGTGGAGGCAGCAAAGATACCGTGTTCTTTGTCAGCCTGATAGTGAATTTTAGGAGTTGTAATATGACTGTGGTCAAGGCTGCTCATGTCTTGCTCTGGTGTGTTTATGTGAAACTGAACTTTGCGGCTTGGCTACAGAGAGGAAAGACTGAGCTGGAAAAAGGAGTTGTGCACTCTGTCAACAAATGTCATTATCTTTGGCTTCAGTGGTGCACAGTGTCTTCATTGTATAAGGCCAAAAGCTCAGGGTCTGCCTGAGAAGAATGTGGCCTTGTTGATAAGGAAAGAACAACGGATAATGAGTAATGATGATTTGATGGTCAAATTCATCCTGATAGGACAACCCAAAGTTCTGTATTGTGATGGTGTGTTGTGTTAGGTCTGTTAATTTCATGTCAAAAACACTTGTCACCTGCAGATGGTGCTGTTGATAGCAATTTGAGTGAAGGGTGGAATGACCAGAAAGAGCTTGTAAAGTTCAAGTATTATGTCTGCTTTTCCTGTTAAATGATAGATCAAAAGATCTACTGCAAGCCTAGATCTGTATAACTTGAATACATCTCATTGACGATTGTTTTCATTGTTCAATCCTCCGTTTCAGCGTCAGTAAAGACTCTGCTGAGGAAATAAAAACCTAAAAGTCAGTTTGGCTGCATAATTCATAAAAATAAGGTTGGTTTTACAAATTGACTTATTAATCCGGGTTAAAAAACAACTAAAACTTGTACATGAATGCATAAATCCTTAGAACCATATTTCAAATGTAATAATGATCTGAAAATACTGAAATCCTGCCACAAACATCATACTTTAGGATCTGAACCGATCTTTGTCTTACGTGTTGTGTCCTCTGTAAATGTTTGACCAGGGAGTCGCTCTACGCCATCCTCCAGCCCGTCGGCTGGTGCCCGGGCTCATGCTGAGGGACCATCTGACCTGCTGCTGGAAACCTCCTATTACAACTTCTACCAGCCTTCACGCTACTCCACCTACTACGGCAACCTTTACAACTACCAGCAATACCAGGTGACTGACAACAACTATTCTGCTGTACTCCTCTTTGAGGCCTTTTTAAGGTCTCATAAAAGGTATTTCACTACAGTGTACATGTGAACACCCCTCTCCTCTCTTTAAGTTTGTGCGTTAATGTTACCACAAACTTCATGTGGGGCTAAACTGTTCTGGGTTTTTCAAGGTCAGTATATTGCATTTTGTATCTAATACCTGACTGAATAAAATATTTAATTTTATGTAATTTCTAGAGAAAATTCTGAATAACTATTGTTGTTCATGATTATGGGACAATAAAACACCGAAACCAGCTTACAGTACTACATTTAAATGAAAAAGTAGTTTACAAAAATATAACTCAGTATTAACATAAAAACTAAACATGTACAGAAAGTGAATACAGAATTTCTGCAACTTTTCCACCCTGCTTTTCCATAGCTGTTCTCAGTAAGAACCCTCCCATCATAATGAAAGTTTGATTGGTAGAGATTTGAACCCACACCTAACTACCCTTACCAGCCAGCACTGGGACATGTTTGCTAATATAGTCCTTGCCGTATGAAGTAATGTATGTACGACGCTGAATTTTGTTATTGTCTTTGTGTTTAATATCATAAGTCCTGTCGCAGAGAGGTGGCACATTATAATATGTATACTGATTATAGCTCTTACACCGAAAGGTTTAGGATTCAGCCAGTCACAAGAAAATCTGTCTTCTCTGTGTTAAAAGAGACATATTGGGCATGCAGGAAGAGATGGATTGGTGTGTGTGTGTGTGTGTGTGTGTGTGTGTGTGTGTGTGTGTGTGTGTGTGTGTGTATCATGTGTATTGGAGGAGGAACTTCACATCTTAGCTGCTTCATGCTACAGAAACATGAGATAAGCTGCTTGGCTACGAATCACCTCAGCAGGAGCAAGGCTTACTGTCTATTACCTCATCACGTAACTGTCACAATAATATGAAACCCATGTCAGTCAGTGAACACACAGCTGGATGAGTTGAAAGTAGAATTTTGAGAAGGGTGGAATGAGTTTAGCAAGATTTTGTGAAAAGAAAAAAGTCATTTTGAGTATTCATCCACCTCTGTAAAGTTAGAGTAGCAGGCTTGTTACCTGAAGATGCCGCTTCATTGATTGATAACTGGGCCTCAACAACTTCAGCAATGACTGTCGAATAGCCCGTTAGCAAAGCGCTGCTCTCCATACAGTACACAATTGTTGTTGTACCTGGTAGCTTATCAGTGTAAGTATGAAACTGTTATAGTCCATTCACAGTTTACCCAAATACGTCTTGTTAATGCTGCATACCAGTTAACTCTCACCATTTCAACACTTCTAGCCATACACTGAAGTGACGTTGCAAAACCTTTACATTAAAATGATTGCCATCTGAGTTTCTTTGCATGTGAACCCCCTCACTCTCTCTCCATGTTTCCCATCTGTCTCTGCTGTCAATGGCAAAAATGTCTAAAAAAGACTATTTATACACAGTTTGGGATGCAAGTAACAGTTATTATAAATTAATTTTTTACTTTTAAACGATGGATAATCAAAATTGATACATTTTCTGATGAATAATAATTTCAGGCATGAAAGGCATGTGTCCTGATACAGAAAATAAAAGACTTACAGAATAAAACTGTAAAAAGATAAAAGTAATGTGATGAAAAGTTTATGATGCCCCATTTTTGAAATTCTGAATAGAAGAGCATTTTATTAAAAACCAAAAATTGTGAGGAAGCGTCACTTTGATATGACAGTGATGTAACATAAGCGGTTGCTCCTGATGCATTTGTAGGTAACCTTGTGGACATTAGAAGTAAATTGTCTTTGCTTCTGGTAGTGATTTATATAAACTTTTATTTCTTTGTTTTCCTTAGAGATGGATGAGAGTGTCTGCTTTAATGTCGGCACTTACACTATAACGTAGGACACATCGGGGAGACAGTACCTAACATCCCACCAACACACACACTCCCTCCCTCAATCAACCATCTATATATTCACTCTGATTTATGCTTAAATGTATCTCTATTGTGTCAAATGAGATGAGCTTGTGCAGGAAGCAAATTAGATCTATAACTCTCAAAAGTGATCTCAGATGAGGTGGTTTGTTTTTTATGAAGAACATTTGTCCACCCCTGCTCTCCCCTCTCCTATCCCCCCCTACGTTCCCCCAATAGCAACATCTAGTTTTGGGGTCATTGCCTCCGCTAACCTCCCAGCACACAGCAGAGCCTAAATTGCAAAGGTTAATGGTATTGTCTGTCGGCAGAGGAACAAACCGCTATGCTCCAGCGCTCGAAGGAGAAAGTGAGCACATTAATGCTAATCAGTTAGCACTCTTTAGCATAATTTAGCCATCCTCCTTCGTGATTTATGATATTTTCAGTGAAGTTGTCAGGTTGAGAGGGCTACGTGCTACGCGGTTATTCAAATTCAGGGGGCCACTTTCTTTGTATTTGCATGAAGAGCTGATTCTTTGAAGATGCCACAAACACGGAGTTACACAATTTGTAACGAGAAATTCATTGTTATAATCACACAAAAAGTGATGGAATATTTCTTTAGAGACAAGAGAAGCAATGATATAGTTTTTTTATTATCTGATATCTGATAGAATAATTATCACACGTTCACTGATAAAAAGAAAGGCTTTCCTCCTGTGTCTTCTCTGTCTCCTTTACCTGTCCTAAACCTCCACAGTTTAATGGGCTATACTCCAATTTTAGCATCCCCAACTGAAGTGATTATCCTTGAGTTACTCAATTCTGATTTTGTCTCCATATTTGCTGCGAAGCACTTACTGCCACGGCCTTTCTGCACTATCCAGAGAGCTCTTGTCAGTCAAACCATGCCGGGCTGTGGCTTCTTTTCTCATTGACTTTCCTTTTGAGTTGGTTGCTAAAGGTGGTGCTCGTTTCTTCATCATAACATCTGGTGAAACATCTTTTTAGAAAATGATATCAATAAAACAAATATTATTAAATTTTAACATTTTTAGTTGTATCGCTCTTGTAGAGCCTCATGCTGGTCACAGTGCTGTGCCTGATGCACAGTTGTTTGTTTATAAATATCCTCGACAAGTTGAGTTATTGTGTCACATCAGTTTACAATAGAGAGAGCCATAATGTGCATTTGTTTATAGCAAAATTTTACGCTTATTTTTATCAGTTCTATCTTTCTATTTTATTACAGAAGCATTGTAGATTTACCACCTTCTTGCAAAATCTCAAATTCCTCATTTATTGCTACACAAAATATAACATCTTGCTAAATGTAATCTGCAAGCATTAGTAGTTTATTTTCCTCCGCCGCTCTTTGAATTGTGCAAATGTCATTCTCAACTGCAAAATGTGCAGTAAAATATGAACGTCTTTTAAACCATTAATCTAACTATAGCGATTGTCACAATATAGTTATCTAAAGGTCTTCAGCTCTTCCCGCTACTAAATCAAAACCCACAAGTAAACACTGTGGTCTTTATCAGTGTAAGGGCATCTGCCTTCTCCTCTCCTCTCCTCTCCTCTCCTGTGCACTCAGTGGTGCTTGGCTGTCATGCAGGTGGAGGATGATAATATAAGGGTGGTGTGGTGCTTCCAGACAGGAGATGGTGCCAGATAAGAAGACAGGCCCTCTCAGGGAGGTAAGGAAACCCCCCAGGAGTCAGCAAGTTAGCCACTGAGTTCAGAGAAAGTATCGTATGTGTTTAGCAACAATCGCCTCAAGGAAATTACAATTAATATCTATCTTTCTTATAACTCATTCTACTGGTACTCAAACGATGGTACAATACGTGAGCTGCCTGTGGTGGAGTCTAATCTTTATTAAATAAATACATTTTAAAACCTATAATAGCCCTTCTATTGAAATACTATGTTTCATTGTTTTAGTTTCAGGAAGAGAAGTGTGGGCCAGGAGTACCCCTTTCCACCAAATTAGCTCTGTTTCTTAAACCAGTTCCATTTAGAACAGTCAGCAATACAATAACATACAATATTTTCTTTTTAAATATCTTTTGGGGCTTTTTTTTTGCCTTTAATAGTGAACAATAGTGGAACCCATGGTCGCTGCAGCAAGGACTCAGCCTTGGTAAATGGGGTGCCAGCTCTACCAGGTGAGCAGGTGCCCCAGTCTAATATATTGTAAGGTGGGTGGTGGTGTGAAAGGTTTGAGAAACACATGCCACAGCTATCACTATCAATTAAAGGCAATAAAAGCCCCCAAAAATATATTTTTTAAAGAAAATGCATTCAGAAACTATGGATGTGCATGATTAGTCAACTAGTCGGTTAGACGTTACTAATTTCACTAGTCAGCACCACAAAAAGTCGGTTAAACTAATTATCATGTACAAGGCTGGTTAATTGCGTCTTTAAGCAGCCATCCACCAATAGCCAGGGCTGCAGACCCAGCAGGAAGCAGCCCCTCGTCACTGCACTAATGCCACCGCTGGGTCATCTTTGTCCCACTTTAGAAGTTATAGTCATAACATTTGGTTACTGTGGTCTGCTTTGGGATTCTAGCAGTCAGTTTCACTCTCTACTCATCTAACCTTACACCACCAATCGGCTAGTGATGGCACTATTCAGAGGGAGGTGGAACTGGAGTTGAAAATAAAATGAAATCTTAAATTTATGACGACGTTAAGCACTGATAAACTAGCAATCACTAGTGATATAAAACAGCTGTCAGCCTCGGTGTATATGCTGACTGACAGAATAGCATTAGCCTACCTGCTTCCTGAATCCTCACATCATCACCAATAGGCATTTAATGATACCAGAAATCTAGTCATCGATACCAATACCGGTGAAATTTCATGATTCTCAATACCAATTCGATACCATGGTAAAAAAAAACATGTACTTTAACATACACTCCTTTTATTAAGACATTTGAACATTACAAAAAAGAGTGGCCCCTTTTCTAATCGATGTTTTCTTATTTACTTATTATTACTCTTTTTCACAAACACCTACTCTGGTCTGTCGCTCTCTCGCTCTTGCTCTCTCTCTCTCTCTCTCTCTCTCTCTCTCTCTCTCCCTCTCTCTCAGGCTCATTATTAATGACGTAGCCGCTCAAAACGATCGAAACCAACATGGCACCAGCTGATGCATTCACTGCTATTCACTGTTGCTTTACCTGGTCAGTGCTGGTAAAATAAACCCTGTTTCTTCACCATAAAGCGTATGTCTCTGTGTTTCTCTGCAGGGTAGTGTGTACAGGATGTGCCCCATTAGATCAGAAAGAATTCCCCAGTACTTACGTTACTATAGAAACACAAGTACCGTAGTGTTTTCGTTGGCATCGACTTGGTACTGAAGTATCAGTTCTCGTGACATACCTAATCACCAATGTCATGTCATCTAGAAAAAGTAGACAATCCAGCCAGAGGTGGAGAACATATCAAATAAAAACTCAAAAGGCATCTTGTATCACGTTATCCCACAACAGTCAAGCAGCCATGAGAGAGATCTCTCTCTCTTCGTCTAATACGAACAGCGTCTTCATTTTCTTCATAATCATTCAGAGTTATCCAGCAGCAAGTTAGTGTCCGTATGTTGCCAATTTCAGTGGTATTCCAACATGTTTACTAACGAGTAAATGCCGATAATATAACAAACTGCCCCCGCGTCACATGTGCGTTACATATATATATATATATATATATATATATATATATATATATATACTGGGGTAAGTAACTAACTTGTGAAGCCTGGCTGTGTGTGTGCAGTTTGTGTACCTACTTTCTTTAATTACTTTTGGACTAGTCAACTAGTTTAAATTGACATTTTTGTATAAGCAAATGTGAAATGAGAGCATTCCTATCAGAAACGGGCTGTGGAAATGTAGTTAAAAGTTTTTAAAGTTAAAAGTTATTTTCATCAGGTTATCTGTATGGAAAACCTCTTTGAATTTATCTCCTTTTTATTCGTTTCTCAGTGGAGAAACCAAAACAAAAGTTGCTGATATAATGTCAGATATGCTGTTTCTGCCTTGATGGGATAAGTGTAGAAAGAGGGCAAACCCCTACCATAGCAAAGAGCATAAATTAAACTTGACACATTTTACCACCAACTCTCTTGATACCAGGTGTGTAACAGTACACATAATTTATGGATCAGTGCTGTTGTGGGGTCACTGTTCAGTATGATTTTGGTACAGTGGGGAAAACATAAGATTGAATTTCCTTTTCGTTTATTTTGAAAACCACAGTGGCTCATAGGTCGTTCATGGTGTAAAAATGAAAGCACTCAGTCAATTGTTTAAGGTCATGAAGTAATCTAAAAGAAAACAAAAGGCAATATGTCAACAAAACTATACGCACACATTATTGTGGGGCTCAAACACTGACAGGATGTTATGTTTAAATCTCATAGTCTCTGAGTCTCACTGACTATTGTAGCATATCTGAAGTGATGAACACTGCCAGGGAACTGGTTATTGGTTTGGCCTATGGCTGCTTGAACACAGAAGGGAGAATGACACGCACCCTAGGCTGTTTTAAACTACCTCTAGTAACAGACACACTTTAAATATCTTTGAAATGACAATGTTACCTGACTTGACTCCTTGTTCAGTGTTGCTGTAATTTACTGGAAAAACCATGACCCACCCAAATACTGTATGTGAGAGTATGAGAGCGTCCTCTAGCTTTGACTCCTCATATGCATTCCCCATAACCACACATCTATCCTGTTTCTGCTGCTTATCTGGGTGGGGGGTCGCGGTGGCAGCAGGATAAGCAAGGTAGTCCGGACCCCCCTCTACAGACGCTGCAGGTTCGATGGAGTCCGCCCCGTTGAACCGCCATGTTTCTACAGTAGCATAGAATGGACAAACTAAACACTGGCTGTAGATAGATTGCCCGTTTTTTGCAAGTTTCACAGCCACCTTAGTTTCTCTTACACAGCCTGTTCTCATTCCCAGGTCATCAAATACAGACACCAGCAGTGTTCAGTTAATTGCAGTCTGAAACTTGGATGCCACTAAATCTTACACACTGGTCCTTTTAGTCTATTAGTGTCACAGAACCCAAAGTAATTGCTGTTAACGTACACCTGTCAGTGTGACAATGGATTGACTGGTAAGATAACTCTAGAATACAAATGTTTGTACCACAAATTTTGTTTCCACTTAGGGTTTTCACGGTGAAGGAATTTCCTGTGTGGTGAAATAGGGTGGCTCAACAGTGCGGTATGCGGCCTTATCTCCATTTTTTTTTTTGTTTTTGCTAAATACTTTGTAAGGGGGACAGCAGGATAAAATTTAAACACATAAAGTCGGCAGTTAACAGGGTCACTCGTTAAATCCAAACACTGGCAGGTCGCGGCCACAGCTGGGGATAATTAGCGGACCAGTCTGCGTTTTCTACTACGAGACTGTTGGTGTTTCCAGTCGGGAGTTTTTCCAGAGCGAGTGAGGAGAAGGCTACGTGACTTTCTCCTGTGTGGTGTGGTGTAATCCTGGGCTGTAAACTGAGGGCTGTCATCCCCTGGCTTCTCAGTAGTGCACAGTCCTACAACAGGCCTAGTTTCGCTGATCCATGCATACAGCTTTTAATGAAACTGCTGTTAAAATAGTAACAATGACCCCACCAGTACACTAGAAATATTTATAAAGTATTTGTATGACATCACATCAACGGTTTAAGCAAGTTACTCTGTGTGGCTCTGCCTCTGACCGCTGGATGTAACCTTCTCTGTAAGCATTACAAAACATGCCTTTTGTGAGCAACTTTCACTAAGACAGTTTTGTTTGGTGCTGGATGTGTCCTGCAAACCGTAAGCTTAGTGCACTTTCAAGACTCCAGTCCAATCTCGATTGTATTTTTCACGGCCTAATACAAGAGCTGAGTGTAGCTTAAATAACAGTTTATAAAGCTGTCGGAGAATTGATGGTGTGGACAATACGGGTGACATATTACAGGCTGACAGAAATCAAATTCCATAAAAGTGAAATTGAAAACCCTTCGTGAGGCAGCCTTGCTGCTGAGTAGACAGCTCGTTTTAAAGTTTTCAGAGGACTGGATAAAGCCAGCGTGTGTTGCAGCCCATTTTTAGAACAGGCCACGGACCTGTGAATTCAAACACTACTAATTCTCTGTCATATATTATTTTATCTCTGTATTTCTTCCTGTCAGAAAAGGTTGTTAAAGTGTTGCTTGTGAATATCCGATGGCTGATTTGGAGGATTGTACAGTCAAACATGTGTGAGTGGGGTCATAGAACAATGCCGATTATATTGTATTTGAAAATGTCAAATGTAAAAAAGGAAACTTCATAAAAAGGCACTGAATAAAAACAATCAAGCAATATATTTGGGTATCCACTGGTGTTGTTGGGATTAGTATGCATTGATATTCTGTTAGTGAAATAGCTAATATCATATAGCCAATGGAAAGAAAGGTTTAGGACCCTCAACATGTGGTATGTTTATAAAGGGAATAGGAATAGGAATATATTATCAGTTGTTAAAGGAAAAAAATAGCTTCAAGGACATAGTAACATATGAAGTCAGAGACCCACTGCAGGAGTTATAACTTGTATTATTTTGTTGGTGATGTTGCCTTCAGTGTGTTCCTGCAGAGAATAAAATGTAGCATCTTTTTCTAACAGTGAATGACAAAGATAGGGAGAAGCAATGACCTTTTAAAGACAGAATGTGTTAAGTTTTGGCTCCAGCATTTGTCACTCATCTTGATCAGTTGTCCACCTTGAAATGCTGTCTAAGCTAAAGCAGAAATAGGGTAACATACACCTTAAAAACCAACCACAGACACTGAAGCTGATTTTCCATTTGATTCTAGACCATTAGATAGATAAAATAAGACATTTAAAGATGTCACCTTGGGCTTTAGGAAATCATGATGGTCATTCTTCAGCAAATTTTATATGCTAAACAACTGATTGGTTGAAAAACATTATCTGCAGATTAAATGATAATTAAATAACCTTTAGTTGCAGCCCTATTCTAGTTTCAATCTTAACATATCTTGATAAACTCATGATAAACCTAACAAGAATGCCATCTAGATTTAAGAAGGTCGTGACTGCCACTTTTCTGGATCTCCAGGATTTAATAATGATTATGTTGTTCAGGAAAAAAAGCATATCAAGACAGTTATTTTGCTTTGTATTAAAATTGCCTCTTTTTGTGTTTTCCCGTGTGAAGCAGATGCCCCATGCTGATGGACGACTGTCAAGCCATAACATGTCCTCTCAGTACCGCATGCATTCCTACTACCCAGCAACCACCTACCTGACTCAGGGCCTGGGCTCCACCACCTGTGTGCCACCCCTCTTCAGCTTGGACGACAACAACAACAACAACAACAACAACAACAACAACAACAACTGCTCTGAGACCATGGCAGCCTGTGAGTGACACACAACCACACTTGCATGCACACACACACACACGCACACACCTCTCAGGCCTCATAAAGTTTTACCCAGACTTTATCAACAGTGTGGTTAAGTACATTCAAGGGAGGCTTGCACTCAAGTCAGGAGTGCCATAAAATTTACAAGATGAAATGAGTCTAAAGTGAAGCTTTTTTGCTTTTATTATACTTACTTCTTTACTTTACTTTACTTCAAATGCAGAACTGTGTATGTAGGGTTGACTCGAGTTAAAGACTTGTGTTGCACCAATTTCCAAACCGAGAACTGATATGAATGAATCAACAGTAGACCTCTACTCACCTTACTGTTATCTTCTCTGTTTCAAGGATGACAGAAAGTTCAATAGAATTATGCTCAGATAATCAGCAATAAAAAACACATATCTAATGTCTATAATTTGCAGCTATCACAGAAAAAGTCATCAATTTTAAAACAGCCTCAAAACTGTCAAAGACCTGACAGTGCAGCTCTGTTTCTTTTTGTTGTGTTTAAAGATGAAGTAGATCTGATCTCTGATTTCTGGCACTTTACTCCACCAATCTCAAGTGGAAATCTCAGCTGAGCATGACACTGACGATGCTTACCTTGATTTTCTGCCTTTCTCAGTACCTATGAATGTGGGTAAATCAGATTGTGTGCATTGCTTAATATGTGCAGTTAAGTATCTGTGGAATCAAGGAATGCATGTAAGTACATGATGAGAGTGCGATAAGAAGGAAGATCCAGCACAATGCACTGGGAGAGAGAGCTGTGGTAGTGTGCTTCAGCAAAGATAAGTTTTGAACCTCAATTCTGAGGCACCTCATTTTCTGGTGCATTCACTCAGTGGCCCATTTCAGAAGTGTTTTCAGAGCGCAAATGGTGGTGTCCTGTTTCATAAATGAAATGAATAAATGAATGTTGCAGATTGAATGTTGCAAATTTGGTGAAACAGGCCCCAGATCATCAGTGAGTCCAACAGTGAGTGAGATTGATGATTATGTTTAAAACATCTGTAGGTGGCGCTATTTTCTTTGTCTGTGCAGCCATTGTGGAGATCAATGCCTACGCTAAGGCAACTAACTCTCCTGCTCTTACTCTTTTTACTTTAGGTACAGGTGCAAATGTTTATTGAGGAAACTGTAAGATTCCAGTTTAGATAGTATTTGTACTTTCTGTATTAACCTGTTTTATAGATATTTTAAAAATACTGTAATTTGTTTTCTCTAACTATTCGATTTTTTAAATTGGCTTGTTTTTTTGGTCCTCTGATAGTTTACATAGTATCTGTCTATACACAAAGAACTGTTGTAACCCTTCTTCATATACCTGAAGATCATGTAGATTAAAATGCTGAGTAGATGAATACTGTCTACCAACACCAAGCAAGACACTATGCTGAGGTTTGTCACACAAGTGTGTAGAGTTATTTTTCAGGTATGTAAAGCCTCTATTGTGTAAAATCAAACTTCATTTTTTGTGATTGTCGGAAGGTCATGTTAGTTATTATATGCCTAAGAAGTTTAGTAAAACTAATTTGTTATTATCTTTAATGAATGCAAAAACTTCATTCACAAAAAGTAATTCTATTTTTCCTCAAAATACAGCAGTTTGATTCATGATCTTACCACTCAGCACAGCTCCATTATACACGTCACTAGAACAAAATGTACTTTTCTTTTTAGGAATTAAAAAAATATGTTAATTGTTTATACAGTGGTATTGTATATTATTACTCATAAAGGAAATAAGGGAAGAGCGTCATTAGTGCAACATCAACATCCTTCTTTTAGTGAAATAAACTGCTGACGCCACCAGCATCCCAAACCTAAAGACCCCCGCATGGTCCCTCGTACCTGTATTTGTTTATGACTTTCACCTGTCCGTTTCCTGTGAGGGTCCCATGTCAGCCTCCTGCCGTGAATCGTCATGCTCCATTACAAGATAACAACACTCTCAGCGGGTGGTCCCACATTTGGTGTCGACTCAGAGTCTAACACCAGAGATCCAAACATATAGAGGTTTTCTGTGACCCCTTAAATGGAAGCAATATATATCAATTCTATATTAAAATCAGTTACTCTCTACAATGCTTTTGAGCTAAAGACAGATCAGGTTATTAAAGTGAGGTTTTCCAAATGTATGACAAATATAAATTCTTCACATGGTGAAATTGTTGTTTCCTAGTCCTTGCTAATCAGGTTTTGGCTAGTATCAAAGCTAATTTGAGTTTATCAATTTTAATGATTGGTCTTTTGAATATCTGAAATTAAGCAAGTGTGGGACAATATCCCCCTTTTATATATGCTGTAGAAAATGAATTAACCTAACATTGTACACTACCCGACATTACTGTATCAGCAGAAACATTGCTTTTGAATAATGCAACCTGTATAACTTTAAACTGTATTCAACTTTGGCTTATCAAACATGTATGGATTGAGGCCAATCTTAAATACACTATCATCTTCCGCATTTATTCAAATATTTTTGAGGCACTAATAAATCTATTGTGTATTTCATGTCATATAAAGCTAGAAGGTTGGATTTAGTATCATGTTATCAAAGAATCAGTCTAAACATTTGGTGCCTACTTGGTACAACCACTGCCAAATCCAGTGCATAGGTGTCTGTCGTATCTAAACAGGAGGCTTCCGCCGACTGAAGATGAACCCTGTTACTGCAGAGGAGGCTTTTCGTAGGAGCCTCTCTGTCTAAGATGTTGTGTGTGAAACATTTTCGACGCACGTCCTTCCCCTTGTCTGTACTATTGTATGTGTGTTGAAGTATGTCCTTGAGGTTGTTCCAAGGCTAATTCATATCTTATCAGCTGAGTATAAATCGCTCTGCAGAGTCATGTTGTTCTTATTCTTGAGCATCACATAATGAACTTTTTATCTTGCGTAATATGGGTGCATGATTGTTTCTCTTTCTATTTCAAAAGGTACTAAAAAAAGGCTTTTCTGCTTGTTTTTTTTAATCGTTGAATTACTTCACATTGCTTTTAGCTGCTCTTTACCACAGTGACATGGAGCTTTATGTCTAACTGGAGCTGAAACAATTAGTTCAGCAGTTAAATGAATAGTCAAGCAACAGAAAAATCTTTAATTTGGTTACTTGTTTGGCCTGACTAACAGTCCTGTAAAGAATAAATATTCTTCATTATCAAAGAAGACATTTTTGGACTATTTTTGGACTTTTAAGGACCAAATGATTAATGAATTAATCTCCAGAATAATAGACAGATTAACTGATAATGAAAAGTTGCAGCAGTTCACAACATAGCCAAAACTGCTTACCTAAGGAGGGTAAAATAATATACAGAATATTGTCCTGGTTGTTGATTTAATTTGACATTTGCCATCTCCTTTTAATAATTGTTTCGCTTTGACTGAACATGTTGTGTGCCTCTGGATTTGTCCATGTGGAGGAAATAGCTGTGAGCTCTGTGAGTCTACCTGCCCTCCCCTTCTACCTGACTGCCAAACAGCACCCCGTCAGATTTATCTCCCTCCCAGGATAGGGCTAATCAGTTGGCCAAATACAGAGACCCAAATAACCTTCAGGAGTGCCACGCTGTCCTTTCCCCTCCCCTCCTCGCCTCCTCCTCCTCCTCTTCCTCGCCCCTCTCCACCCTCCCCCTCCGCAGGCCCCGCTGTCTCCGCAAAATTGCCTTCTGGAGTTAGTGAGCGGGAACAGTTAAGATTTACAAACAATGATGAAGCTTGTCATGCGTCTTTCTCCATCCGTCACGGCGGGCCGGGCGGAGCTGTGGGTAGAGCCGTCCTGGTGTTCTTCATAAAAGCCAGCTCTCTGTGAAATACGCCCCCGGCCGGCCTGTTTACTGCCCCGCGCTCGTCAGCAGCCCCGCCGCCGTAAATCGCTGAGCGGGAGGTGACAGCGCAGTCCATCAAACTCCCACCCCACCTCGCTACCCTCCCAACATCTCACCTCACACTGCCCCCCAACCCCACCCCTCCCGCCTCCACCATACACACACAGTGACACACACACTGTTTCTCCACAAACACCCGCCCCACTTCCTCACTAAGATCTAACCGGGGAGGATCAGATGAGCTGCCCCAAAAGAGTTATGGGTGTTTCAGTCTTACAGGAGACAGCTTCAGGCCGAGTCTGTCGGTGTTTATGTTCTTTCTTTTTTTGTCCTTGTCTAGACTTTTGCAAAATTCAAAAGTTTGCAAGCTTGTCAGCACAGCAACTTTCCTTTCACGTACTTCTTACTTTTTTTAAAAACAAGATTTATACTAAAGTCAGACCTCAAAATCGAGCGCCGCTGTGCCGGCTATACGTTTGTCTGTTTTGTTATATTGGTGTCAGCACGGAGCGTACAGTAATTTAAATGCAAATCAGATTGTTGAGGTATTGCAGATGTTAATCCTGCTAATCGATAGACCTGTGTGAGCCCATTAAGTTAGAAATCCATTACTATCTTTCTAGATGATATTCTATTGATTTTTTTTGCTTCAATCTATACTGTACTGTACACCAAAGTGAGTTACTGCGTATAAAGTCTGTCGTTTCAGGTTCTCCGCCTCCTCTGAAAAAAAGAGTAAAAAAAAAAACGACAGTGAGATTGGCGTCAGTAAGTTTCTTTGTTTCGTGTGTAAAATGGGATTTGCCTGCTTTCAGATCAGATTACTTCAAACCACATACTCTCTCACACACACAAGAACAGTTTAGGAAGTCCCTTCAAACACACACACCGCATGTACTTGCACACACTCATTCTAGAGATGTCAAAGAGGTCTCTCACTCTTCTGGATTTATTAAACCCGAAACAAATGGGTACTTCTAACCCAACTGGTGACCTTTTCAGAGGAAGTGCTGTTTCATGTCATGTAGCAGCAAGAGTTTATTTCCTTGGTCACTGACATACTGAGAGCATCACTCACCTACAGTCCATGTACACCTACAGTACATGTAAGCCAAGCTAGAAGAAGACTATAGCTTTGGAAGGTCGTGTAATTTTGTCATCTTAATAATTTATATTATATGAACAAACTTTTAGGTAGCAAAGAGGGCAAAGTTTAAATTGGGCTGAAATTGGGTAATGGAAGTTTTTACAGATGTTTAATTTAATATAATTATATAATTTTAACATGCAGTTTTGGCTACAGATTTATTTTGATGCCGTTGAAACAATGATTAACCTAGTCCTGTAAAAAAATCATTTAGTAGCTTTTAACCTTAACGTGTGGCATTTTCTGTCTGTTGTCTACCCTGCTTATATATGTTTTGATTATTACTATTTTTCTGATTACTGTAATGAAATTCCTGCTCAGTGTTGATGGACAGGAAACACAAAAGATAGGCAATAAATGGAATCAGTCTACCTTGCATAATTAAGTTTTTAGTACTTTGTCACCTTTTTGGAAATAAAGTTCAGTAAACACCATGTACTTAAAAAATGCATGTTGAAGTTTGAATTATGTTGCTACCTTCTAACCCCAGAGATTCCTCTAGTAGGCTAATAAACCCTATAAAATATCCACATTTTGATTGCATTTTGGTTGAGGTAGTGACTCATTCAATCTGTAAGTAAGAGCCAGCAGCACAGAAAGTGACCCTACTGGGGACGGCAGGACCGGTGGACCTCGCTCAATGTGTGTCTGATTGAGTGTCCCTCCTGGCTCTTGGTTACAGTGGAAAAGTCCTGTGTGGCCTGTCAGATTGTCTTCCCCACCCTGCTGTGCTGCTAAGTGCCCTGATAGCCTCTGGGGCTGTGGATGGGCTAAATACCAGTGTAATTTTCTGCTCAGGGCACGAGCACCGTTGTAATGTGTTGTACAACACCACCATTAACACAGGCCTGGGGCTGTGGAGACATTAAATGGCCAGGGCTGTGTAGTTTATGTTCTCTTCCCCTCACTCTTTATTTTTCCCTCTCACTTACACACACACACACACACACACACACACCGTCCAGCTTTGTTGGACTTTAAACAAAATGAAATGTGATTCTGTTGACTTGGGCTGCAGGATATGGTAAAAAAAAAATCATATTGCGATTATTTTGACAGATATTGCGATTGCAATATGAGTCACGGTGAGTAAATTTTAATTTTCACAGATTAAAATCATGATGCTGACATTTGTTGGTGTCTGCACCAAACAAACATGTTTTCTCACATGTGGAGAACAAAATTTGTAGGCCGGGCATCTCTGCAGCACTACAGTACTTCATTATAATGATGTCTTGACACACATTTTACCTCTATCAAAAAATTTCAGGTTCTGTGATTTGGATAATGCACTTGGCCATTTTGCGATTTTGATATTATTTCGAGTAATTGTGCAGCTTTCTGTAAATGCAGTGTGTGCAGAGTGAAGTACTGCTTAATTTTAAGGTTGCTATGTATCTTAAAATATATCTATCTATATCTAAAATGTATAAATAAATATATTTTTAATGATGCTAGCTTAAATTTCTAAAAAGTGTCTTCTTACTGTCCAGACATAATTCATATAAGAGTTGATAGAGATGCTGATATGCTGCTTATCAAGGATGCCTTCAATTGTTACTGTGCCATCACAGAATCATAAAGCAGTAGCAGTAGTTAGTTTGTGGACTTACTTTATGCCCTGTGTTTTGTCTCATAGGCTATGTACAGGCTCCCCTGACCATCTAATTAGTTCAGCTGGTCTTCATAATTTTGATAGGAAAAGAAATGTATATATATCTTCTTCTAATTCCTAACCAATATTATGGGAAGTACAATTACTTATTTAATCTAACTGTAATATCTTAATTGATCATTTGCCAGGTTGATATGAATTTACTATATAAATGATTTTATCCTACAAAAGAAAGAACTGGAAAAATTCTTATCCATAGCTGGCGGGGTTGCACTGGGTTTTATACTTCTATTTAGAACTGTTCTATTCTAACATTTGAAATCAGTTAATCTCAGATACATGTTTACTGCATGGATCTATATATAA